TTACTCCCTCTAGTCTTTACATAAGGTTTTGCTAGGGGGAAAAAAGTGAGTGATGCTTCCAAATATAAAAGTAACCAACAGGCCCACGTTTGAGGGACGCGCGATGCTATCGCGACTGGTTGAGTCGCGCGTGTCGCGGCACGCGGTGGAAGAAGAAAACGTTAGGAATGCACACCTCACTGCCAGCCACCCTTCAAAGGCTATCCACCGCTTTGGACTCGGCCAATGGTATATAATTTACTATGAGGAGGAGACCTGATGTCACTCTGAAGTTGGGGAAAAAAAATTTATTTCTAAACTAAGTTAATGAGTTAACTATAGGAAAAACCCAACAAAAAAAAATGATAGTTGAATTTCAAATTTCCAAATCAGTATTGATTACTATATTCATAAAGAAAACGACTACATTCAAAAAATAAATGACAACACATTTTTGTAGTAATTCTTTATTTGAAATTTTGAAATTCAACAATTATTTTTTTTTTGGATTTTCCCTTGACTATATATCATTGAGGCAGGTAGAAGTGAGTCATAACAAAAATTGGGGTGGGCACTTTTTCAAGGAATGGTTAAACAGGTGCTTTTAAAAATTTATTTGTGTCAACTTAACCCAAAATTATTTTTTTTTCACTTTACAAAGCAAAGCTTATCTTTTATATTTATCTCATATATCTTAAATTAATTCTCCACAGCTAATCAAAACAAGCATTAAGTGGTAAATCGATGTATTCATTTCATTTACTCCTCTAATTTTATTTTCTTAGACTTCTCAAATATATATACATATATATATAAAAGATGGCAATATATATATACTACCTCTGGTCCTAATTATAAGACCCAGTTAACTTATTTGAGGAGATTAAGGAAGTAAGTTAAGTTAGTTATTTGTAATAAATAAGTGTTGTCATTCCTAAAATATCCTTACTAATTAAGTGTATTGGCTAGAACTATCATTATTAGAAGGATTATTTTGGAAAAAAATGCATAAATATGAGAGACAAAATGGATTGAGGTCTTATAATTAGGACCAAACAAAAAGTCAAACGGGGTCTTATAATAAGGACCGGAGGTAGTATATATATATATTCAATAGGAATGAATTCGGAAAGCTGTTAACTTTTAAGATAGATTTTTTTTTGTCAAAACTTTTAAGATAGAGTTAATGATATTTAATTTTTTTAATTTTGTAAAATATATTTTAAAAAATCAATCAATTATACAAAATGAAAAAAAGATTATGGAACTAAAGTTGGTATTTATCCCTCCTTTTCACTACAATGGTCTTTTAAGGTTTTGACATAGCAATTAAGAAATACTCTTTCCCTCCCTTGCTATAAGCAACAAAGGAGTCCATTACGTAGATCAAAAAGTTAGTTAAAGATAATAAATAAGTAAAAATCAAAAGTTTTTTCTTCAAAATACCCTTATTTATGAGAAAGAGAAAGTATATGAAAGAGAATAAAAAAATTATTATAATAAAGAGAATTATGAAAAAGAGGAAATGTGTGATGGACAGAGATGATAGTTTGGAAAATGAGAAAAAAAAATATTGAATATTAAAATAAATAATTGCCTACAAAAATTTAAGACAACTTATAAATATTGCTTATATTTAGAGACGAGAGGAGGATGATAATTGTTGCTTATAAAAAAAAAATCGAGGGAGTACAATAAATATGAAAAATATGAGATATTTTATTAAATTTGCTCATCATTAGTTGATTGCGTTAGAATAGGGGTAAATGCTTAACTATGTTTGTTGGCAAAAATATTTAAATATATTAATAAGCTAGCTTAGCTATTAGATTGAAAAAGTTAAGATTGACCCAATACTCTAACGAATTTTTTTAGATGCATCTATATCTTAAAGTATTTTATGATTCATTCAATATCCTAAAGTGTTTTTATAAGTACATATAGTATATTAAAGTATTTGGTAATTCATCTAGTATCTTAAAATGTTTTTTCATATATGTTCAATACCTTAAATACCCTAAACCCTATATTCTAAATTAGGGTGTTCCATGTACTTGGAAAAAATATTTCAAAATACTGGATAAGCTACAAAATATTTTAGAATGTTAGATATATTTATAAAAATAATTTAAGGTTCTGGATGAACCAATAATTATTTCAGAGTGCTCAATGTATTTGAAAAAAACACTTTATATGTTGAATGTTGAAAAAACACACTAGTGCCTAATACAACAGTTTAATGCCCTCATGACGGCAAGGTGCTAAATGAACCATTAACTATTTTACAATGCTTAAAAACATTCATATGTATTGCTACACTCATCAGCCATGAAAAGTTTAAGGAAAATCCCATCTAAATACCTATTCAATTCTAAAATTCTAAATAAGTCATTCTAATTTCACAAAGAATAAATAAGTGTATGGGTATTAAATTGGAATTTGCAAGTTCTGACAATTACTTGTATCCCCTTCCTCTCATGCCTACCATCCTTTCTCCCCTTCCCTCCAATAGTCCACCGCCATAGACCTTGTTTGCCATTATTATCGAGCAACCTGAGCAGATCCCGAAAACTCCGTCCTCCATGAATTTCGTCAAAAAAAAAAAACAAACAAACAAAGTAGGCGTAGCAGTGCAAAGAGCCGTTCAATGAAGAAATGTGCTAAATGTTAACACAGAGATGGGGAAGCCTCAGGGAATGGTTGCGATAAACGCAGGAGAAGAGAAACCAAATGCAAAAATCTCAGGTACCTCAAGGAGAAACTCAAATAAACTGGTGGGAAGCTCTGACGAATCATTGGAAGACAAAGATGCCAGTTTAATCTTGATGTTAATTTATCATTTAAATATATGTAATGTAACTTCTGTCATATACTTACTAGTATTTAATAAATATTATCACTTTAGTAGTTAATTCTATTACATATATAGTAAATTATAAAACTTACTGTTATTATGTTTATTATGATATTCTTTAGGTATATCAGTATGCTAATTTGCCAATACACTTTGGCCTTTGTTTAATTCCTCCAAGACTTGGTGAAAATTAACCATGTGAACAGTATGGATATCGTAAAATGCCTAAGAATGGGTTGCGAATAGCATCATTGAAATAGTCACTTATATTATACAAGTTATCATTCTCGTTACACTACTATAGAGTGAGGAATACTTGACGCTAAATATTTAACGGTTATTACAAAAACTGTCAAATATAGTTTCTGCGGGAGAAAACTTGACGGTTCCTATTATAACTGTCAAGTTTTATTTGAAATACTTGACGGTTTTCAAATAACCGTCAAATATTATCCAACAATACTTGACGGTTATATTATAACCGTCAAGTATCATGTTACAAAACTTGTCGGTTTCCCCTAAAACCGACAAGTTTTATAATACTTGACGGTTTTGTTTTAAAACCGTCAAGTATTGTTTTAAGATACCTAACGGTTTACTTGACGGTTATTCATAGAAACCGTCAAGTATTGTCTTTTAAAACCCCTCCCTTGTTCATTTCGCTCTGTCGGTTCAAAATTTCTAACGCCCCATTTCTGCTTCGAACTCTCTTCGCCGCCATACCCACCTCATTTTTGGCCCTTCTCTTTGGTTTTTATTGATCGCCCTCCATCATCATCGCTTTCTATGTCCTCCTTCATCACTGCGGCATCCTACTGCATACGGTTGTCGCACATTGTTCTCCACATTTGAGAGCTTTAGGTTGGTCCTCCTTCGTCACTCGGTCCCCTAATTTCCTTTAGTGTTTCGTTCAATATGATTGTAGTTGAAAGAGGATGATAGGATGATGTTAGGATTGTTCACAATGCGCACACGGAAAATGGGTTTTGCTGTTCGGCCAAATGGGTTTTTCAGTTTGGCCGAAGGGGTCTTTCACATTTAGATCAGTTTTTGGGTTTAGGGTATTTTCAATTTTTGTTTTCACCATAAATTGTTTGGTAAATAATTGAAATTGCTAATATTTCAATTTTTGTTTCTGTAATTGAAATTGATTGACTGCTGGTTTTCTGCCATAAAGCCTTGGGAATACTAAGTTATAAGCCGTTATGCTGCCATAAAGGCCTGTAAAATGCTATGTGAATGGCTAAAAAAAAGATTGCAAAAATCATTATGCATTTGGTAACTTTCATTATTATGCAAATTGTTATTCTCGTTATATATTTAATAATATTATTTGCAAATGAATTAAAATTGGGTTGCAAATAAACATATTTCAAATCTCTTGATGAAAATAGTAACTTGCATTGCACAAGTTGTTATTTTTGCTGCTTGTTTTGTAAATTAATATGTGAATTACTTAAAATAAGCTACAAAAATCATTATGCAACTAATATAATTTTCATTAGGCAAGTTGTTGTTTTCATTATATGTTTAATAAAATCATCTTCAAATGGATTATAATTGGGTTGCAAATAAATAAGTTGCAGATCCTCCCAAATGAAACCATTTATATTACACAAGTTGTCATTTTCATTACTTGTTTTGTAAAATAATACACAAATAGCTTAAAACAGGTTGTAAAAATTATTATGCAACTAGTAACTTTCATTATGCAAGTAGTTTGAATCCCTGGTTGAATGAAAAAAAGACATGGAGCTAATTTGTCAAAATTTGCAAATCTCAATTTAATACCTATAGATTTATTTGTCCTTTGTGAAATTGGAACGAATTATTTGAAATTTTTGAATTCAATAGGTACTTGTATAGAATTTTTCCAAAAATTTATGTTGGCAAATGGGCATGGGAAAATGCTTTAATGATGTTTTCACACCTTAACCCTTTATTTCAACATGTATGAATTAATTAACCGGTTTTGATATCCATGATCCACGAGGGGAAGTACAACTGACCCATGATTACTAGTTGCAAAAAAAGAATCTTGTTATAAAATTAACCAACAATAAAAGTAGATTGGAGAAGAGAAGTAGACAAGAAAATGAGAGAATGATATTGTATTCCTTCACTTGCTTCACTTGCATTATAATACAATGGCATGCCTTACGAAAAAATGACGAACAAGCGCTCTGGTGGTGGTGGCGATTCTGACGAAGGCGACAAGGCGAACCAAATGAAGAAAAAATATAAACGCAACTCACACAATGACAACGATGATCAGACTAAGGATAACGTAACTGGAACAAAGGAGAAGTCCTTCAAGGAGACTCTTTTAGGCGCTTCATCTGGGCAAGTCTCAAAAGACCAGAAAGGCCGTGGGGTGTTTGATGATGCTTGGGCCGAGTACATCAAGGGACTCCAGTGCTATTTTAGCAAGGAAAATGCTGACGATAAGATCCATGGACCTACGAAAGGTGTCGACATTGATGACGAGGATTGCCCCACGCTGAGAATTACTCAGGAGGAATATGAACAGTGGTGTGCACCCGGGAGGAACTCCCTCATCGTCAAACTTCTCGAGAAATCAGTACCTCTTTGGGTTATGAAGGAGAGTCTGCAAAAAATGTGGAAGACTGAGAAGTCATTCACCACGAGGGATATCAATAACGGCTACTTTCTTGTATCGTTCGAGGATGAGAATGATATGATCAATATTTATCAAGAGGGACCCTGGATGGTTTCCGACAGGTACTTGGTGGTTCAAAGGTGGCGACTGAATTTTGATCCATGGAATGCGGAACTTCATAAGAAAATTGTGATATGGTTGAGGATTCCACTTCTTCCTCTTGAGTTCTTCAACGCAGCCAGTTTTCAACGAATTGGGTCCTTGATAGGGAGAACTCTGAAGATCGACCGTGTGACTTATGCTAGTGAGCGCGGCAAGTTTGCACGCATTTGTGTCGAGATTGACTTAAACAAAAAACTAAGATCCTCTTTTAACCTCTTTGGGACGAGAAGACGCATCGAGTATGAAGGGTTGCACCTTATTTGTTTCTGCTGTGGTGTTTATGGCTACCATAGGGACGTTTGCCCAGAACGAGAGACCCACGTAGTCTCCAACAATAACCAGGCTCCAAATTCTACTCAGGAAGGTTCACAGGAGTTTAGTGCAACACATGAGCAGACTAGAAGGTACGCTGAGTCAGAACAAGCAAGTATCAATGTGGAGGATGGAACTGCTGGTGAAAAGAGACCTCGAATGGTCATGGAGAGCCCGACGGCGGCAATGGGTGGTGCACAACCGCAAAAGGAAGGTCTCGGAGTTTGGAAACCTCGTCCAACGTTCACGGAGACGCTTACCAGGAAACACCGAAAAATCAGGAGGGGTAAATCATGTAGCAAAGATCATGGGGCGATCACATGCTAAAGAGCGAAATCCCAGGGAAGAGATGTGAATATTGATGAAGCGATTTTCCAGGAGGCAATAAAGGCGGTTGACGTGAAGCCATGAAGACATGAAAGAGAGAACCGGATCTTTTGGCAAGGAGCTTACTAATAATAAAAGATGGGTCCCGGTAACTCAGAAAAAACGCCTAAAGGGTGCAGAAGTTCTGAAAGGCAAGGAGAATACCCTCAGGAAAAAAAGTATAGGGGTTGGGCCTCCTAACGTCATACCCAAGAGGAAAGAGGCCACTTCCTTCGGTCACCAAACCCATTCCAGTGCCTTGGTGATGCTCAAAATGAAGAACCCATGGAGGAGGAATGTGGGCTGCTTAAAGATAACACACCTGAGACACACAGCAACGCGAGGTTGAACGTAACCAGTGACGATTCTACAGATATTACTGTCGCTCACCAGAATTGACCCAGGGATGAAGAAGGCTCTTCTATGAAGCAACCCATGATGAGTGACACGTCCATTGCTATCTCTAGGGGACCTATAAGCATCGCATCCCCCAGAAAAGGTACCCCATGATTAGTCTCTTCTGGAACTGTCGCGGAACTGGCTCCAAAAGCTTACCGGGGCTGGTTAAAAAGAATTAGGAAAAGGTACTCAATTGATTTCATCGCCCTCTTCGAAACAAAAAGTAGTGGCTCTCAAGCTTGCCTTAGGTGTCAAAAGCTGGGCTTCGAGAAGTTTGAAATAATTGATGCAAACGGTTTCCGAGGTGGTATATGGATATAGTGGAATGAGGTGAATTTTCAGTTTCGGTCATAAGAAAGTCAGATCAATATATCCATGTGCTGGTGGAAAAAGGACAAGATTGAATGTACGTCACTTCTATCTATGCAAGCCCCAACATAAACAAACGACGTCAACTCTGGGGAGACCTCACTAGCTTACGGCAGATGAAAACATTCCTTGGATCCTGGGTGGTGACTTTAATGCAACCCTGTTCCACAATGAGCGTCGCTCCACCGCTTTCCATCCAACTCCTCCTGACAGAGATTTTATGGCTTGGTACGAAGACTTGCAATTAAATGACTTGGGATGCAGTGGACCCTTCTTTACCTAGAAGAGGGAAGGTTGCGAAAGCAAGATCAATCGGGTGTGGTGCTAACAATAAATTTAAAGAGCTATTCATAGATGTATCGGTGAAACACCTTCCTTGGTTCAAATTGGATCACAGGCCGGTCTTATTGAGTACCATCCCTTATAGGCCTCATAGCAAACAGAAACGACCCTTTCGTATTGTGGCCTTGTGGTGCCTTCATGATGACTTCTCTAGGTTGGTCAAGGATGCTTGGAAGACCGAAATACCTTGGTTAAACAATGTTAGCAACTTTATGAAGAAAGTGGGCCAGTGGAGCTATAACGTCTTTGGTCACTGGGGCAACAGAAGAGTCGTCTCATGGGCCGGCTTGAAGGCATTACCAAGTCCTACGGAGCTCAGATCCTCCCCTCCTAAATCGAGCAGCTACAAGGAGTCTGTGGTTGGAATTAGAAGAGATTCTCCTACAAGAAGATCTCTTTTGGGCCCAAAAAGCCAAATGTGTTTGGTATTCTATGGGAGATAGGAATACTAAATACTTCCATGCTCGAGCTAACGGTAGGCGATGAAGAAATAAAATTGAGGCTATAAAAAATGAGAAGACGAGTGGACGGATGATGTTAAGGAGATAAAAGACACAGCGACTAGTTTCTTTGTCAACCTGTTCAGGGATGATTACCATGACTCCCCCACCCACGGTGCATTGCTCTTCCTTCCACCACTAGAGCCTTCTCATATCACAAACCTATCCAGCGAAGTCACTAGTGAGGAGATAAAGTTGCAGTTTTCAGTATGGGTGCTCTTAAGGCACCTGGACCGGATGGTTTGAACGCTTTCTTCTTCCAAAGCCAATGGTATACCCTTGGTCCCTCAATCATTAAGACGATCACGTCAGCCTTTGCGAAGCCAGATTCGATCAAAAGCCTCAACCACACCTTCATTGTTCTCATACCTAAGAGGGAGTATCCAGAATATATTTGTGATTTTCGCTCTATTAGCTTATGTAACGTCATTTACAAAACGATCACAAAAGTCATTTCTAACCACCTTAAATGTCTTCTTCCGTAGATTATTTCCCCAAACCAATGTAGCTTTGTGCCGGGAAGGACAAGTGCGGACAACATAATTGTTGCTCAAGAAGTGATCCACTCCATGAAAAACATGAAAGGGAAAAAGGGCTTCATGGCCCTCAGATTGACCTTGAAAAGGCCTATGATCGTATCGGCGGATTTTTGTTTTGGAGTGCCTAACTGAGCTCAATTTCCCACCTTATCTTAAAGATATTATTCAAGCTTGTATCTCCTCTCATTCCATGCAAATTCTTTGGGAAGGGAGCAAGGCGAAAAAGTTCCTCCCTTCGCGGGACTTAAGACAGGGAGATCCTATTTCCCCTTACTTATTTGTGATATGTATAGAGAAACTAGCCCACCCTTCCAAGAAGAAGTGGACAACAACTGTTGGAACCGATAAGATTAGGTAAGAATGGCCCTCCCATATCCCATTTGTTTTTTGTTGATGATTTGTTACTTTTTGCAAAGGCCAACATGGATCAAGTGGGAATCATAAAAAAATGCTTATATGTCTTTTGTAAAGCCTCAGGACAAAGAGTGAGAAGTAGCAAAACAAAGGTGTTCTTCTCCGCTAATGTCAATCATGCAAGGAGCGCCCAAATGAGCGAAGCTTTAGGCTTTGCCAGCACTACAAATCTTGGGAAGTACCTAGGAGCCCCGCTTCATCACAATAGAGTCACCTCAGAGACCTACCAGTTTGTGCTTGACAAGGTTCGGAATAAATGAGCACATGGAACACCACTCGATTATCATTCGCAGGTCGGGGTACGCTAGTCAAGGCTGTCATCTCTGCAATCCCATCCTATTCCATACAACGGCTAATATTCCTCCCCACACGTGTAACACTATTGAGAAGAGAGCTCGTGACTTCCTGTGGGGCTCATCAGATGAGAAAAGGAGGATTCATCTGGTGGCGTGGAAGAGGGTGTGCAGCGAGAAGAGAGTCGGTGGCCTCGGATTAAGGCATGTGAAGCTGTAGAACTGAGATTTTATGATGAAGCTTGGTTGGGGACTTGTAAATGATCGACATTCCTTATGGGCGAGGGTCATTCGTGGGAAATACAGCTACAGCTGCGGCAACGATCTACTGCAAAAATCACCCCTAACAAGCTAGGCTCTAACTCATGGAATGGCATCAAACGAAAATGGAAGGAAGTGACCGATGGTTTTGAACAGGTCTATGATAGTAATGGTGAGATTCGAGCAAGATGGAAATGGGAGAAGAGTGGACTTTTCTCTGTTCGCTTAGCTTATCGCTCGTTACAAGAAAGCCAGATTAGTAATGGGGTGCGTTGGACGGATCTGTGGAAGCTTAAGATACCACAACGTTGCAAAACCTTTGCGTGGACCTTGTTGCATGAATGTCTCATTACGAATAAAAGGAAGCACCGAATGACCCTTCACCCTACAGGTCTGTGCGACATATGCAAACTCTCTGACGAAGATGCTCTTCATGCTCTTAGAGATTGTGAGGAAATAAAGAAGATGTGGGAGTCGCTAGTTAAGCCGTCCTACCATAACAGCTTTTTCAACAGCATTATAACTGAGTGGGTCCACCTTAACTTGTCACGCAAAGTAAGCAATCAGGACTGTTTACTGGAAGGGGCTATTTGTCATTACGTGTTGGCTCTTTTGGCGTGACCGAAACGATTGGGTACACACGAAGGCGGCACTAGTGTGTACACGTATAGGCGCGAGAGCTATGGCAATTCTGGGCAGCATGACAAATGCTCAGGAAAAGCTTTCTAGAGTGAACTTTCAGGGAAACAGGGCTCCTGGCAGTAGGGAACCTTCGCCACCGAACGAGAGTGAAAGCTCCATAGAAGTTGACAGGGCCTACTCAAGGAGAGACCAGGTTGCAGCTTGCGGAGGAATCATTAAAGATAGGTGCGGCAAAATAGTAGAAGGCTTTCAGCTAAAGCTTCCGGCTGGAGATGAACTCACTGCTGAACTTTGGGGGTGTCTCATGGGGTTGAAAAGAGCATGGGATAATGGCTTCAGAAAGATCACTCTCTGTAGCGACTCACAACAGGCCCTCTCTAGCATCCAAGATGAGCCGTCTAATCTACACGAAGACTATCAACTAATCATGGAGATTAAAAAAATGCTGAAACGAGACTGGAGAGTACACTTCTGCTATGTTTCGAGGGATAAAAACCTGTTGGCAAACATTTGGCAAAGAATGCTCTAACGCTTGGCGTTAGGCTCTATCTCCTGCACCCTAAAATGGTTGACAGCATCATGCATTCAAATACTGGCGACTGATAGCTTCTTTATCGCTTTTGTCTTTGCTTTCCAGTATATCAAAAAAAAATACAATGGCATGCCTTATTTATAGGTATAGTCTTACACATAAGTTACATTTGTACTTAAATGATAGATAATGAACAATAAACCACATAAATATGAGTGGGGGGAGTTACAAGATTAAAAGCATAGTGGAAAGGTAATGGAGTAGTGGAAGATTAATGCCTAGTGGAAGTAGTGGGAGTTGATGATGAAGTTGAGAGGAAAAGGAAGAGGAAGAAGAGGAGATGGACATCCACATGGTATATATTCATAACACTCCCCCTTGGATGTCCATTGTATAAGATAGTGTCTCATTAAAAAACTTCAATTAGGAAAAACCCTGTGGGACAAAAACCTAGCAGAAGAAAAAGAGTACACATTCATTGATATACTATTTGGTGCTGCCTCATTAAAAACCTTGCTAGGAAAACCCAGTGAAAAAAAACCATAGACAAGAAAAAAAGAGTACAGCGTGTATTAGCTCTCCCTCTTGATAACATCAATTGATATCCTTGAGTTTGTGACATCCGATATCATGAATAAACTTTTCAAATATCATACAAGGAAGTGACTTG